CCGCAACTGACATCTTCCATACGTCAAAGCCCCGCCGACTCGTCTTTCCGAGCCTCCGAAAATGCTTCACCTTCGTATCCGGATTAAAGAGGGTGGCGAAAGATATTTTATCACCTCCTCCTCAAACAGGATCGAGTCATGTCCAAAATGCTAAATAATTAAGTCAGTATAGTTTCGTGTGCTGTCGTGACTTTCGCAAATATTTAAATATTTTCAATGACCGCGAATATTATTAACAATTTAATTTCAACGCGAATCGCGATACCGAACGTGACGGCCGTGTTACTGGAAGTTGAATTCCTCGAAGGTGCGCTACGATCGTTGAAATTTTTTAACCAAGACTTCGTAATCAACGTAACATCGTCCGGAGGGTGGCGCCAAAATCATTTCGGAGAATCCCGATTGCTACCGCATGCGGGTGCGTTTAAAGTCGTACTAATTAACACGGCAGCGATTCAAGATGTCGGCCGTATGGCGGAATGGGTCGAGAAGGTGGAAGTCTTAAGGCAGCGTGTTCTCTCCGGGGAGCCAAGTGTTAGGAGAATTAACAGCAACCCCTGATCTTGGCCCTCTATGCTATCTCCCTAATAATAAACTGGTAATTCCCAATGCCCCTATAAGTTACTCCCTTTCAACGCCACAATGACCTACGAGTGCCAAGACGTATTGTCTACCGGGTGTTCGTGATCTGTTCTATCGCGCTCTTTGTCCTGCAAGCCATTAGTTAATTGAATGAGAAAAACGAGCGAAGAACAGCGCGAAGAAACGTCATACTTATACGACATAGAAGCGATAACGTCTCTAACGTCGTAAATCGACTCGTGATCGTAACAGAGTTAGTACCCTAAATCATGATTCATCTTCGAACGTTAAATAATTGAATTATGCAATTATCAGCAAACAGCAAGGTGGAAACAGATCAGTCATAAATGACGAGAAAGAATATGATAATAACACGAAATAAAGAAACGTGTATAATTAATGTATTTATTTATAATAAACAGTATCTCATGGCTGTAGAACGGTTAATAAATCTCTGCGATTTCTTAAGCAAACAAAATTTGCTAAATCTCAACTTTGGTTTACCGCGATGGAATATTGATGATCGCCGGTTTCGCGCGCGTTCTCTCTTCCGGGCATTTAGCGAAACGTACTCCCGACCGGATGTTAATTCGCACTCTGAATGAATTCATCATGATTCCGGTACAATGCTCACCCGTTACATCGTTACAAGCCCAGTGTATCCTAGAACGTGCACACCTTCATCATAGACACTCACCATGGCCTGTAAAGTACTGTGCTTTCCGCGTCGGGAAGGGGTGGAAAACGCGAACAAGAGAGAGAGGGAGCGGATGTTGGTTACAGAATAGAGAGAACGAGGGATTGTAAACTTCCAGGAGGAAGATTCAACCTCTCGACGGGAACCGCTTAGATTTATGGGCATAAATTCCTATCCAATAAGAAGCGAAATCCATGTATCCTCTAACCGTAACGATACATGCGGAATACTCAGGCTTGTATACTATGGAGATTCTTTGATAATTAAAAAATGCCCCCAAAAATTTCCTGTGCGAAGGTGTAACATGTCTTTCTGGAATAATATTTGCATACACGTCATCTCCCTTGTTTTTTATACAACTCTATATAATCTATATTTTCTTTTTTTTAGTATCGTCGAAATAGAACAATATTTTATAACCGAAATTTATAAGTCCGATAAAATATATAAACCTGATATAGTATATATATATTCGTTTTGTTAACTAGAAAAATATAAATATGAAGGTTGAAGCTATATTCGGTATATTACATGTTCTCTCTCGGCGTCGCGATGCACGCAACTACTGTAATATCGGTAAATTATACGAATACACGCTTGATAAATCTAATCGCTCGCCCACGAAGAGGCACTAAGAAGCAACGAGAAGCGTCTTATTGCAGGCAAAGGATATGTTCTCCTCTGTTTAGCGCGGATATCTGCTCCGTAGATTAGGAACGAAGGGGACGGTAACAGTGACCGATAAATTTCGCGGCGACTGTCTCTTACTTGTAATTAAACGCACAATTTAAACAGACTGTTAGTGTCAACATGGCCGAACTAGAAGGTCTCCTTCCAGCGAAGAGAGCAAATCTTGCGATGACACGGTGTACTTATATGTACTTATGTACCATTTTGCGCGAACAAGTACAGTACTGATTACATCATCGATCGTTTACACCTCGAAATCATTTTAGCTATTAAACAAATGCATAAACATCACGATAAAAATGCTTTATATTTCCTACTACTTGTATTATTAAAAAATCTAAATTTATAAGTCTAGTTATAAAAGTTAAGAATCCGATATAATTCAAATTCATCAAAATGATCTATATTTTTGCTGATATTTCCAATTACCATTTTTATTGTTTTTGGTTTTCAAAAGTATACGAGTCTCAAGTGAAATATCATAAAATAATATTTTCTCCTTTCTTTCTCAGTCTTTCTAGGTCTTCTTTCCAAAATTGAACGAACAGCATTAAATAACGATTACTTTCAGTAATCCACATATTATACAGCTGCACACGGGGCGCGCGTTTACCTACACCCGCTATCATTCTAATTACGATATTGTGATGACCCGCGTCGCGTACCAGTCGAACATCTGCGATCCATCGTGACGGATAAATCACCTTGGGACCACCCTCCAATCGCGTCTCGCCCATCGCCTTGCATATAGACAGTTACTAATGAGCCGACCCCATTTAATTAACCGTATATGGTTTCTATGCAACTGCCGGACTATTTCCCATTGTGTACGCGCATATTATCGCTGCGACACGCACAGCTTCGGCCAACAAATTTATTCCAACGTGAGGTGATATTTCATCGCGACCGCTTTCTTGCGTCGACACATCTGTTCGATTTGTATCGTAGTATACTGCGGATCTATAGATACGAAACGCGTTCGTTAGTGGTGGTAATTCTAGAACCAGTTCCCGAAGGGAGGGCGGAGGGAGGACGGTAGAGCCCCGGCGTAATTCATCGTCGGCCGTTATCGGAAAATGAATTGCAAATCGCTTTGCATGTAGCAAGTAATTTACAGATCTTGCCAACGTACGTACTCTGTACTTTTGTACAAAAATACGCGATAAATGAGGTCAATCGAATCAACATTTATACTATTATTCCAATACAAATTAAAGCTAGATTTGTAGCGTGGGATAATCAGCATGCATTTCGCAGAATAAATTGTGCAAGAAATTCTTAACGTTATTCATGAAGATATTTAATTAATTTCCTAAAATTGTTTAAAAAATTATTCACATTATTTATTAAATCAGTTTCTCTCTCTCTCTCTTCCCTAGCTTGTGTAATATTACAAATTTATAAATATTGATCACAAATCCTTGTTTATTTTTATACTACTTTTTCATTACTTATAAACAAGTTATGAACAGGTAATAACAAAGCAGAGAGGACATACATGCTGCTGAATGTTAATATAACTAACGTTATTAACTATCCTAAATTATATGTTTAGAATCAATATGTATACACTTGCAGCAAATAATATGTGAGATATTTGAAAAAGATACGTAAAAAGAAAAAATGCAATATAAAGTGGCTAAAAAGAGAATGGAAGTTCTTATTATTCTCTACAGAAGGGCAACCCAACAGCCTCCGTGGCGCAATCGGCTAGCGCGTTCGGCTGTTAACCGAAAGGTTGGTGGTTCGAGCCCACCCGGGGGCGGGTAATCTTTTGTACATTGCTTTTAAAAATTAGATTTTTTAACGATATATTATTTTTTTAGTGAATTTGTAATTTGGCAAATAAATTTATTAATTAAATAATATTAATATGTAAAGGATGATATTTAACATGTATGATATAACGAGGAATACGCGTCGACTCGTAGTGATAACGATTTATCTTTGAAGTAAGAATATGATGATAGAAAATCAGACCCACTGATAAAGTGTAAGTACTCACGTGCCTCCAATGGCGCCGTGGCTTAGTTGGTTAAAGCGCCTGTCTAGTAAACAGGAGATCGAGGGTTCGAATCCCTCCGGGGCCTGAAAGCAAGGGTTATTTATAGTGCTTTCAATTTTTTGTCAACTCAATTTTTTATAAAAAACATTATATGTAATTAAGATATTTATTTTGGTATTTTATTAATATAATCAACACGTTGAACGTCGTATTGATAATTATTAATTGTACAAATGTTTAACTGAAGATCGCATCGCAATAATAGTTAACAATAATTAAATGAAATTAAATGCAAATAATTGAGACATCTTGATATCATATCAACATTCAACGTATTAACTTAGATTAACAGGTTATCGCATCAAGAGAAAGAGAGAGAGAGAGAGAGAGAGTAAATAGCAATTCCCGATGATATGACTGTTAATCAACGTGAATAATGTACACGACAATATAAAACGATTATTTGCATTGCTACAACCCACCGGGACTATCTCAATCAAAATGGACGTCGCAAACGGCTTTTTCTAGTAAGAGAGAAAAAGATGGCTATTATATGGTTATGTTCCGTCTCCTTCTAATGACATACCGAGTCTTTTTCATCTTCCTACTTGACAAAGGACAAGGACAACAACAACACCTATCTCGAGCAGTCTTCGTCTCGTCCGCAGATTTAACTGTAACATAATCGATATGCTCGAATTGAGATCAAATTCATCGGCTGACTAAGCATTTGGACAAGCCTGCACAAGCTTACCCATCGTAACATGTGATAACGCCGACGCAATCTCGCAGGCCTCGTACCGTTATGATTTTCTAATTTCCGTATTCCCGCAGTGTCACGATCTCACGCTCCCGACGATTCGCTGCTCTTGACGACTCGATGTGACATTCACGATCGCCGAGGCCCACGACAAGCTGGTGCATGTCGCTCCCGAAATCCGTTGCTGCCGTTCGAATCGAAAAACTCGGCGGTAAAATGGCGCCGAACAGGAACGCCACTCCGCGGCCGACGTTCGTTCTAGCGACTACGGCGTGACGTTAGCCACGCCGGCGGCAGCTGGGCAGCGCGGCAACCAGGCGAACTTTGTTGTTATACCGGGCGCGCGCTTGAGACATAACCTCGCACCGTCGTCACGCTCAGAAACATGTCATCGTGCACGGACTTACTGCGATTGAACGACTATCGGTTATTCCGGGACGTCAAGCCGAGCCTACCTAAAGGTGTGAAGGAGACACGGAACATTCTCGAGATTCGCGACAACGTGCTGTACGCGTGGAACGCCGACAAGCGCTGCGTGCTCATGCTTAACCTGGCAGCGACCCGCGGCGAGCCCGGCGAAGACGTCCTCTACCAAGTGAGTACTGTTTTCACCTCGTGTTACGCATTCCATGCTCTCGCCAATTGTCGGGGAGATTTTTTACGTAGCGCGTCATGTGAGCGAGAGCGGGATATCGAGCGGCATGCCTCGTCGCGCGGTCCGACTCTAACCTAACCCGCGCTCGTCGTGTCGGCTGCTCACGCGTGCGCCGTTTCCTCGCGTATTGCGCCGAACGAGAATAAACTCGGCGCCGGACAAAGTATATTTCATTCATCGACGCCTGAGAAATATGCGCACCAAACGTAGGTGAGTTTCATTACACGATATCGTGTAAGATTCTTAGTCTGTTTTTTGGTCGCACTGCTGAACTGGTGCGATAAGTTAGAGCGAGACAAAATATACTTGTCTCATTCTAGCTTATTGCACCAGTTCGGCAACGCAGCTAAAAAACAGACCATCTGTATATGCGTTACATCGGTGTGTTATGCGTTCACGTCGTATGTCGTCCCCCTGGCTCTTCGACATTTGGAGATTGTGTTGGAATAGCCCAACAGCATCATTTACACATGACAATATAAGATACGTTGTACTTGTGAGATTTATACCATCGACCGGTAGGAATTCGCTCAATTAAATGCGATGAATATTCTTTCACCCATGTCCGCGGATTTGTAAAATAACACAACTGTTGCGTTAAAGTTGCGCAAGCATAGTCACGATTTGCGAATTCTCGCTATAATAGGTGGTTTTTCCTACGCAGAAAAGTGTAAACGCGAGAAATAACGCGAGCACTAAAGTAAAAATTGCGAGCAAATCTGGAAATTAACAGGGACCGAAATCTAGGCCGATATTCATACTCGAATCTTATATTTAAGATCGTCTTAAGTTTATCTTCAGATGCTTTATAACCAATGAAATGAGGCATTTGAAGAGAAACTTAACACGGTCCTAAATATAAGATCCTGCTATGAATCATAGAATTGTATTCTCTCAAGCATTTCGAGAGAATATTCCGAATTGTCCCGTCGCATTAATTGTTACTCTTTTACTCTAAGTAGGCGATATATTAAAGGATACCGCAGCAAGTGATTGAGTATCTAGAAAGCAATTAATGGATAAAGATACAGCCGAGAATTTCTTGAAAACGCGAAGCCGAGCCGGTGCTAGCGCGGAAAATGATTGCGCGGTAAATGAAAGGGAAGCGGCGCGGCGGAATCGCGGCGGGAATGGGCAAAGCGGTACGTTTCGTTCTCGCTGGCCGCCAGTGCTTTTATTTCATTTCAATGGCACCGTGGGATCAGCGGGTACATTAATGCCTCGGCGCTCGCGCGCGAACGCAAAAGAGCGGCGAGGGGATAATTTATAGGAAATGGGTTGTTCGACGCTCCGGAGTAATTTAATTAAAATAAATGTCCGCGCCGCGGAGGAGCGTTGCCCGCACACGGACGTAGCCGCGGTTCCACGGCTGCGAATAAAATGCAAATTCAGACCCTTCAGCGGAAAGGGTCGTGCGTACGCGTGTGCGTATAGGTAGGTAGATAAAGGTACCCCCGCGAGGGTGGACGAGGAGAAAAGAGGTAAGTGCGGAGGACGGAGGGTCCCGGTGGTACCGATCGTCGCTCGTTCACCCGTTGATTCGATAAGCCCCCCGGTATTCGGTTAATTTCACTCGACCGTCCTTTTAATAACGCGACCGCGCAATACCACATCGACGTTAGCGTCGTGATGCGTTGATTAATTTGTTGATTAACATCGGAAGTCGATTGAAACGGCGGATTTATCGGGACGCGCTCTCACCGAGCCGAGGCGTTTACGCGAGAACTTGGCGGGACCGCCGACGTTGACGAGTTAGCGGCGACGAAGCGCGATATGAATCGGCCAATTTTCTGATCCTTCTGCGACGGCATCGATCACGTTAAACAGCGTCGCAGCCGCCGACGTGGCGCGTCAAGCCGCGGCGGCCACTTGGCTCCTCGCTCGTTACCGAGTGCATGCGCCCCGGGCCCGGCTGAAATATCGGTCGTAAATAATAAAAGTTAGCGAGGTTCCTCTCTGGCGCGCACGCCGGGACTTTAAACCGGAAGATAGGTGTCGCAGGATACGGACGAGGGCGACGGTGGGCAAAGTGGCGGCGGGTCAGGGGACGGCGGTGTGGCGCGGGACGGAGACAAAGACGCGCTATTGTCAACCGCTCCGCCATCGGAACCGCCATCCGCCGCGGGAAACTTTGAATCATTTTTATTGCATAGAGTTATCTTTGTTACCAGCGGAACGAACGTCTAAACGCGCCCCGTCTCACTCCCTCTCTCCCCTCGCCGGCTATCTCTTTCTCCCTCTTTTCTGTCTCTTCCTCCCGCGCCTTTCGCCAGGTCATTCCCGGCCCTCGTCCTTCGTCGGTCCTCGCCTTCCTGCCGGTTACGCTCTCTTTCCCTTCTCGTCCCGTCCCCCTCCCCCCGTCTCCGAGAGATAATACGAACGCGAAAGCGTTCACACCCCTTTGGCTGCCCAAATGGAATAAGTTCTTTAATTCGCGGATTTACCGCCGAGCAAACGAATCGCCCGCGCTGTCGCCGAGATAATATTCGGCGGACGGAAAAGGGCCGCTTCTTGGCCGAACTCCTCGTTCACCGCGTGTTTTCCTCGAAGACCTCGCTCGGACTTGGGAGCGAAGACAAGCGAGGATTTTTACGGGACGCCGGCTCGTTCAAAGTTCTTTCAAGATGCGACAATTTGGCTTTATCATCGGACGATATGTGAAAGAGGTATTCGTTAAAGAACGCGAGGAAATATCGAGCGTAATATTCAATTAATGTTAATATTTGCCTTTCACGAATTGAAATTTTATATACTCGAAAAAAATTAGTATCAATTCAAGTCTCATATGTATAAACAAGAGTATATAATCTTGTATGAAGATAAAACTTGCTTACGTAAAGAAATTCTATATATATAGACCTGCTAAAAAAAATATCTCTTATTTATTCAAGAATAATTTCCATAAATTGAGAAGAGAAAGTATTGGATAGAAAGAACGATATCTTCAAACTAAGAATTATATTACATTGAAAATATTATTCTTTCTATCCAATATTTCTTCTTTTCACAATTCACGAAAATTATTCTTAAATAACAAGAATGTGATATTTTTAGTGAAACTATATAGAATTTCTTCATGTAAGCAAGCTTTACCTTCGTATAAGATTATATATTCTTGCTTATATGTGAGAAAATGAGCCTTGAATCGATACTAATATTTTCCCGTGCAACATGGCGTAATTCATATATTCTTTCCGCAATCTTCGTGTTATCCAGCCTGATTAAAAACCCAGACGGTCGCGAGCGCGCGCCAAGGTAAGAATTACTTCGATTCGGGGGCACGATGTGCAATGGCGACGGTCTACGTGAGACTTTCTATATGCCTCTCGCGACGTATAAAAGGGACAATCTTATCTAAATTAAAAGCGCCGCTACCGGACCGGCGACGGTCGAGGGTCAGCGGCGCGAACAAAATAGAAAATTTCGGGCGAATTCCTGCCGCCTCCACCACTACCGCCGCCGCCGTCTCCGTCTCAGAAGCGGAGCGGAATATCGCGTAATAAGCGAAATCCTCTCGACGATAATTAAAAAGTAATTTTACGGTGACATTTGTAACTGCGGTCCCGCCTACCCACCGTCGCCGCTGGTAAATACACGTGCAGCCGCACGTCCTATGTGTACACAAGCAATAACTACGACGTACGCGCTCACAGTCCTGTGCGCTGCCACGTGCGTGTGTGTACGTGTGTGCGTGCATGCAATCGCGAGCGCGTTTACTGCGTGTGTGCGTGTACATCTGAATGTTCCCGCGGTCAGATTCACGCCCGAGCGTATAAGCAAACGCGGGGGTGGTTCTGGCGGTTCCTGGTTCGGGTGTAGGTTAGGTGCCGCGCCGGTGCACGTGGTGGTATACGAGAAGGTACGTAGAGCAATAAAATTCACGGGAAGTGTTTTACATCGGACGGCGCGCGTAGCTCTCTCTCTCTGTGTGTATGTGCGTGTATACGTTGGATACGGCGGGGTGGAAGCGCGAGGGAGGCTCGACGAATTCAGTAAGTGGCGGACAATGGCTTTTGTGGTAGACATCGGCCACCCTCTCCCCCTCGACACCCCTCCGCGCATCACCCTCCTCAGCATTCGTATTTCGTTCCACCACCGGCACGGATACATTTTCCCTTCCACGTACCCTCCTCGTGCTCTGTCTTCCTTTCTCTTTTCCACGGCCGTGCGAACACTCGAAGCATCGCGCTGTCGGAGATGCGGAAAAAGCGGTAACCCTACGCGGACTGGCGGAATCCTTCTCTCTCTCTCTCTCTCTCTCTACCTCTCTTTTTCTCTTTCTCTCTCTTCTCCCTTTTTCGACTCATTTATTAATAGGGATATATGCGCGCCCTCGAAAGCATCACGTCGGAGAGATAATCGCACCGGGGGTTACCGCGAGATTCGGCCGGTACGTCCGCCGTTTATATGTCCCGATCGAGAAAGTATGTTGAGTACAGCGATGGGTATTTACATAGTGAAAAATACGTTCATGTCTAGCATGAAATAGATTGAAAGCCTTTATTTTCCTCTAAGAAGCTCGTTAGACGAATTCGATCGTACATAAGAAATATTTAAGATGTCGAGTGATCTTCCTGAATCAGACAGCGAAAATTGGGGAAAGAATCTCGATGGGTGCTTCAATATTTTCAAGTACTAATTGAAAGCTAAATTTAATAGCAGAATGAAATCTTAATTTTCAATTGATCTTATGTATTCGTGTTACAATAAAATTGTTGAGGTTTACGGAGTTCAATATATACAAATATACTATATAGAAAAAATACTAGATACAAGTAAATAATCAAAGTCTAAAGTTAGAAAAGCTTATAACACAAGATTGATGTGCTTTTTACATAGTCATATATTGAAACATAAAAATAAAAAAACAAATCGTTTCACTCTTTTTCAGATTTTTTCAATGTAAAAAATCGATTTTTTTAAGTTCGCTTGACAAGAAG